TTCAATAAAATTCCGGACCTCAGACTGTGAAGAGCTCGTTCTACCACTCACAAGGGCTCTTACCGCCTCTTGATTGTCGAGGAGCACCTTGATACCTATACTACCTCCAATTTCCGACGCCGCTTCTAGGCCTCGAACTGCCCCGACGATTTCTGCATCAAAGACCTCTGCTCCTGGGAGAAAATTTCCACCACTCGCTATGAGTTCTCTGTCCCTGTATATAGCATAGCCATAGGCTGAGTATGCTGGACCAGTCGATGACCCATCAGAATATACACACAGCGTCCCTACAGGGAGATTTCTAAGCCAATGATTAATCCGCTTCGACTTTTCCTCCTTGTTGCATTTGGCTCTAGCCATAGCCCTCGCGATCATCGGTTGGTAAAGCTGTCCAGGCCCTTCTGATGCCGGTAGGTTGAGGTTACCATTCTGAAGGCGTGTCAGATATCGCTCTGGAAAATTGAAGACACGATCTTTTGGCCCCTCTCTCAGTTTGAGTCGCTTAATTGCTTCCTTTGGTGTCTCAGCTGCCCTTGACGACAAAGGGTGATAGCTGTCGAGTCTGCGGATTCTGGCTGCATTTCGGAGCTGTCGCTGCTGTAGCATAATTTCTGCCGGTAGTATCCCTGACTCACGGTGCAGAACTATATTTGGTGTAGTTCGCCACACTGGCAGTGCGGCTCGAACAGCAGTCAAAATAGTTCTATCTAGTAACTTGAGGTGCCATCCGACACCCGTACTTACTCTTTTATCTCGTACCGTCGTGATACGGTTGAGTCCAGGCCACCAAGTTTCAGCGCCATAAATTGCCGTACTGACTACACATGCGTTCACTGCACGGATTAATGGTCCCGGAGCTGCACCTCGTTGGACCCTATTAATACTTCGTATAAAGTGAGATAGTCGTTGTGCCTTATTACACCATTCTTGAACATGTTGTCTTAACGTCAGTTGGGAATCGAGCCAGATCCCGAGCCATCGAATGTACGCGGAAGGCGTAATAAGCTGTCCCTCAACCCTGACCGCGAGGTTGGATGAGTCTAGTTTCTTCTTCGGTCCTCCTCCTATAACCAGGAGCTCGGACTTAGAAGGGTCGAACCTTATCATGTGCGTTGAAGCGCGTTGGATTATCCTGTCTACTTCTACCTGGGCAGCCTCAACAGCCTCACTAGGATTTTTACCGACGCGAACAATGGCAATGTCATCTGCATATCCGAATATACAGTTTGGGATTCCATCTTCAAGTAGGATTGAGATATATAACATAAATAAAAGTGGCGATAGTGGTGATCCTTGGGGAACTCCGCACTCAACAAGCTTCTCATCAGTTACACCTTTTTCGTGTCTCACCAAAACTTTTCGTTGTTTCAGAAATGATTCTACCAGGCGACAGAGTAGTACTGGCCAGCCCTGACTTCGCATTCGTGCGAGCAGCCGATTGTGTAGCACTGCATCGAAGGCACCTTGTATGTCCAGCGTGACCATAGCTGTGACTTTGTTGGATCTCATTGCAGCTTCTGCATCGTGTATAACACATGATGCCAAGTCGACTGCTGAGCGTCCTGGTAGCGCGCCGAATAGTTGTGGAGGTACTGCCTTGTGTTTTAATGCAAGCCAGGACATCCTTTTAGCTATGAGCCTTTCCAATCCTTTGCCTAGGCTGGAGAGTAGCGATATGGGGCGCCATCCTTTTGAGCTGGAGAGGTCGCGTCCAATTTTTGGAAGTAGCACAACTTCCGCCACCTTGAAAGGCGTAGGGAAATATTGCAAGTTGAGACAAGCCTGGAAGAGGTCCCTGACGTATGTTCCAATCGTGCTCCAGCAGGCTTTGAGAAGTCGTACGGTAATCTTGTCGAACCCCGGAGCTGTTTCTTTGCTGCCAATGGTTGATGCTGTGACATCCTCCAGTGACACCTCTCCATCCCATGGAATCAACTCTGGTTGACTGTTCTCCCACGTATCGATGTCGTTTCTCGCGTTATACCTTGCAAGGAGAGAATCTCGCAACGCAACTGTCCGCTCTAGTGGATCTGAAAGCCACTCGTTTGGTGATACCCGGAGAGGAGGAGGCTGTTTCGTCGGCTTCGGTTTGGCCCATCGCATAAGTTTGAACACTTTTGCTTCTGTCTCTGCTGCCTCGACTTGCTTTGTCCAGTATTCACGTTTGGCTCTCTTCACTATTCCATCCTTCTAACATGACCGTAATACTATTGTCAGAATAACATGCCAAGCTGGTACCTGACATAATTTGTGATTGCCTTAGGAAAACCTTGGCGTTTTGGGTAATTTTCAGCTAGAAAATACTTGGCGTCCGTATAACAGACGTGGTGGACTGGTATTGAGTCATTTTAGGATTACATCTTGGCTACAACATGTTTGGATTGTGTCTTGTGATGTAAGGAAGCTATTTCTAGATATTATCATCTTACGTCAGGTAGTAGATATGTAAAGATATATAAGCTGAGAGAAAGAGGAAGGAAGACAGATAGACAGACAATTATATCTTTTTATTTACTTCGATTGAAAGCTCCTTTGCAAGCTATTCTTCCAGATACCTCTAGTCTCAATCATTACAGCTTCCGAACCAGCTCAAAAGGTTCGACAATACCAGAGATGGATAGAATCTCGGAGATGGATTGAGTCCGATTTTTTGAAGGTAAATTTTTACATTGGAAATTATGCACTTCACAACTTCGTTTGCGAGAGTACAGGCAATAACGTAAATACCACCACGGTCGGATGGTGTGTTGATACACTATCTTGGCCAATCTCCCCAGTAATTTCTTGATAGCTTGGACACATCTTTCACTTACGACAAGAGATGGCAGATTCGAATCCATTGAGAGCGAATCACATTTCTTGTGGTGCTGATGTTCATATATGACGAAGGCATGCTTGGATAATCTAAGGTTTTGAATTTCCCTTTGATGGGTATTATAGAGGACGGTCGAATATTTTTGTTAGCAAAAATATCTCGGTGGTGTTTGCGAATGAAATCCAGGATAGGAGTGTGTCTAACGTCAAAAGAGTCATCTCACACTGACAGGTAACTAGGATTCTGGCTTGTGACAGGCGAAGTGTATGTGATGAAAGTAAAAAATAACTCAGTTAAAACAACTTAATTACTATTTCTCCCGGAATTCTAGGACTACATACACTGATCATGATTGACTTGATCTCTTGATCTCTAAATATATACATGTGTTAGGAATAGAATAACCTGCGGTTCTAAGTAGAGAATGTAAGCACTGACCGAAAGAAACAACCCACGTACGCATGGACAGTCCCTATTTTTGACCCGAGACATTTCCCTGTCCAGCTTCCTTGGTAGTTAATCTTCGCCTTCGAGACACACGTATAACTTGATGAAAAATTATATTGATGTTGCACAACCGCACTGAGCGTGTTTCAGATATCATTGTGTTTTAGGCAAATGGTTTAAGAAACGACTAAACACGTGGCATTGTTCAATGTATGTGGTTCTGAGAAGCCTCCCTTACGAAGGAACAAGACATCATCAGTTTATACCAAAATTTTAGTTTCGCAGTTCTTCTGGCCTTATTGATCAAATCGACTACATGGACTATAATTCCACATAATCAACTATAAAAATTGCACTGATATGTGTCGTAGCTATGTTGCTGGATATTAAATAAATAATTTAAAATAATTTAAGCTGAATTTTGTGATATTAGAAAGCTCAAATCGCTGAATATTTTCCTATATCCCTTGCTGGGGGTACATGTGCTGCAATTTTACACAATTATTTTCTTTACTAAAAATTTCAACCCATTTTGAATATCTAGTAGTTTCGTACTATTAGTATTAGCTTACTAACTTGGGAGAAGAGTAAAGAATGGCGATCAATGATGGTTGAGAAGAAATCCGATTATGACGTGTTGGGGAAGATATCTTTAGACGAGATTGAACCTATTTAAGTTTTGGGTCTGATCGAGGCTTATAGTAAGGCTATGAAATATGTAGATGCTGAAGAGCCTTGAAGCGCTCTGGTCGTTTCTCAATGTGCATAGAAACAATCTTGTCGTCTGTTGGGTTGTAAATCGCGCCCGGTCAGTCTTTTCCAAAAGTTGGTTCACAGTTTGTTGCAGGCTCAGTGTATCCTAACCTGTTGACAGACAATAGCTAAGCTTAATGCAACAGATTTTTGAAATAAAGTTATTAAGTACTGGTCAATCTATAAATATTATATTCTTAGGTCTGGCTATTTTCCGAGCTTGCCATTTAAGTCCAAAAAATTAATGGGGGTGTCGCAACGCTATTTTGGGACGCACATGAGTCAGGAGAGAGATCACAATGTGTTGATAGTCAGTTAGTCACGTGGCTTGGTACAGCTCGCTGTATCGCCCTTAAGGCTAGTACGCCTGTATCTAAGAAGATGAAGAATCATCACATCATCGAGAGACCCGTTGCGTACGCGTACACGTGTATATTACCGACCGTTTGAAAGGTTATTTTTCTAGTGGTGTACTAGAGTATCGCATTAACTATACGGCCTGAAACCTATATCTATGTGTTGTATGCGCCAGACCAAGGTTAGTATCCGAGGGATTAGTAATAACCTTAAATCGAAATTGTTTTGATATAACTGTCGCAGAAAATATGGAAGGTATTAAGTCTACCGATGGAGCCAGTTATATATCTTATAGATATAAGGAAATTTGTCATAGACAACAACGCAGTATAACTGATTCAAATGTTGAACAGAATCAGATCGTAAATTAATGGGGTTTAATGCCCCGTCTAGTGTTTAAGGTGAAGATTTTGGCTTCGCTAAGACATCATTTAACACCTTTAAGGGATTTTGATAAATATCGAGTATATTCAGACTTACAAGAATCGTTTCAAGGCTAGGACATTTTATCGTTTAACCTTCCTCCTTAGTCAAGCTTAGATGTTGCATGAATTTGTTGTTCATTATCATGATGTATTTGGTTAAATTAAAGCTTATTATCTGTTCTAGTTTGTTTCCAAGCTGACTTTTAAAAAAATCCTGGAGGAATTTTAATTTTCTCAAATTTTTTATTAGAAGATACTGGCATTGTATTTCTATCTTCATCTTTTTGGATTTTATCATAAGTCTCTTTGTCAAGTCCTTCGAAGGGTTTTAAAGGAGGTTTGGCTCCATTCTGAATTTGGTGTATAACTATATCAATTTAGAGTATTTTTTGAGCGTGGTATATTTTTACTCACCATCATGCCATTCTTGCTCCATCTCATTGTTTCCTGTTCCAAGCAGTTTTTCAACATCGACTCTCTCGCCGCGTTGTATTTTTTCAATGATTTCTTTGAGAAGCCTAATCTTTGCTTCGGATCTGCGATTAAAAGCGACAAAATCTTTTTTGAGCACAATCATTTGAATTGCGTTGGAACCAATAAGCAAGAAAATGACAATGAAAAATGTAGCTGGGTTCCATTCCAAATTTCGAGATTTCTTGTCATTACTTTTTGTTGGACTTTTCGCTCGCAAGGGCTTTGGAAGCATATTCATCCAGAAAGAAGGTCGGATTATATTGGTAGAACTTGTCCCATAGGCTTTCTTGAGTGGTAGAAATTGAATGAATCGGTACGCCGTAAAACATGGCCCTGAATAAGGACGCACACAGATCCTGACTAAAGAACGTGGACCCATTTTACTCAATGCTCTTCTTGCAATTCGCGATAATTCAGGAATATTCTCCACGTGCTGTGAGCGACTTTAATCTGATGTAGGCAAAGGTTGTGTTATGGTTATAAGTTACGTTTTAAATTTAACTGAACAGTATGCATTTATTTATTTTTGGCTTGAAGATAAAATTTAACATATCTATCATTGTAGGTTTAATTAAATGCAAGACATAGTCAAGTCTACCTTTACCCCAGACATCATATTAGCACATTTACCAATGGTAAACTTTATTAGCGAAGGCCGAGTAGTTCAATTGTGTGCGCACAGAACTTGACACGATTGATAGGAGCTCAAGTTGTTCCTTCACCTTAAATGCTCGAAACTGAATAATAAATACTGTCGAGTACACGGTTGAAGAGAAAAATTTTCTATCTCCTAACATTGCCGATGTTAACGCCCAGTATTATCTACATATCCGGAGTAGCCAAGAAGTATCGCATCCGGATCGAAGTCGAAAGCAAAAATAGGCATATCTACACTTGACTTATCACTGTCTGTCCTGTGATTCTCACGCGAGTCCTCCAACTCAACCTTACCACACTCCATCTCGGCTCTTCGACTAATCAAGAAGCCGACCTAATTGGAGATTGGAGCTTCCCTCATCTATCATCGACCAACTTTCAATAAAAAGTTGCGATGCTACGTATACTCGCAACGAGGAAAACAAGTAGTGAGAGATGAAGTTCGGGTCTGGCTTATGGGGTACCGCTTTTCTAATAGAGCCCTACGATTTGAGGGAGGACAGGTAGCTGGAATTTGGAATAAGAGAAATAAAGTCTACGATGACCGAACTGAGGCTGGCTTCGTTAGAGAAGGGTTCAATTTAAGGGTGATTGTGAGCGTCAAGACCAAGTTTTCGTTGGCAAGAGGAGGAAATTGAAGGCTCAAGGGCTCAAATATGAATAGGATTAAATGTGGAGTTATGAGAGATGGTATGGTTGAGCTCCGGTCTGTGAGAGTCAATATCAGCCTGACATGATCCGGTGTAATTTGAGCCATGCTACTAGCCTTTCTACATTATATTATATCATATTATATCTTTTTTCACCTTTTTTGCATCAGATTTTAATTGTGTATGCAGCTATCTAGCTATGACACAACATCAAAAAAATCGAAGCATTCAAAATTTTTGCACAGAAAACCCGATGTTATGGGTGATCAGCTGCAGTCTGGACCTCTGCTCTCAGCGGGGTCCATATAAATTAGTCATGTAACATGACTCGATCAGAAGGGGAACAAGGCGAGAAGTTTTGCTTCTCAACCACAAGTGCTGATATTTAGTTGGAGCTCAAAGTTTTGGAGCCTGGAGTTGTGTTGTGATTTCTATTTTGTATATGGCTGCATGTAATTTAACTGGCTACAATTTGAGTAGCGGTTCACGTGGTGGGAACAAGTTGGGCATGTCATAGATATGATCTTAGCTGTAAACCCCAGTCTTTGACCCTCAGGGGAAGACGGGTATATCCTAGGACTTAAAAATAAAAGACAAACAAACAACATCAAAGAAAGGTACATGATAGATGATTCAATACAAAGGAAGAGAACTCATGCTTCGGATTTCATTTGTAAGTACCTCTGCGAAGACATGGCGGCTTTTTCTTCACCCCAAGTCAACCCTCATCCGTGAATACCCAACCAGGGAAAATTCTTAACGGCTCTGAGTTGTCCAGACATGTTTACGCCATCCATGGAATAGCTTCCACGAGAAATGTGATCTCAGGCCTCTTCTTCCCAATTGAAAACCTACCCAAACTATACTAGAGAAGACGATCAGGAGGTCGACCGTGGCACCTTCTATTGTTGGCTTGTTTTTGTAGTGTCAGCTGCACTCTCGCAATCGAAGTAATAGTGCGCATAGTACTCTTCAATATTTAAATCTCTATGCACAAATTTGAAATCTATTACCGGCTGAGATGGTATTCATCACCTGCGTTATTTTTTGAACTTGTTCTAATTTTTTTCGCGTGCATCCCACAGGAATGCCTTCCAGATTTGCGCGACATTATTTTTCCTGTTTAATGACATAATGACTCAATAATCTTTCATGCATTATCTTAGAAATGATGATTAATTATGTTGATGAGTAATGGGCTACCTGTTCAGGAATGGCGTTAGGAGAGAGGGACAACTGCTGTATATACGTTTTTCCTTTAGTTAGAGGGAAGAATCAAGATACATATTAACCACCAGTTGTTATTATGTATATTGTTCTCCATGTACCCATCCTCGATAATGTGCGCGTGTTTTATTGTACAATTTCAGTCTATGACTATCTAGCACATTGGGCTCCTCTCTGACCCAGGTCACACCTTGTACAGTGCTCCTATCCTCTTTTGTTACTTGAAAGATCATTGATAGATTCCCCTTGATGAATAGCCATTCAGCTCAGTTTTTACCCGTGGAATTCAGCCACCTTTTCCATGGAACCTTCTACCCAAAAAAAATAAAAATGGTAGCAATGGAAACTGCGTGCGCGGGAAAAAGTCTCAAAAAACCTGCAGCCCCATCCAGGCGAGGCCTAGATACCGGGACCACATGAGGTGCGCATATTCATCTATATCTCCCTTCTTTGTAACAGTCGAGGTCGACTTGATCCAATCCACCATCTCCGTATCGGGTGCTGGGTACGCTCCGGAAACTCATCGGATGGCTTCTCCTCCATGATCAAGGGTTGGTTACGAGTAGGGCTCCGACCCTACCATCTGATCTGATCGTGGTTGGCTTCATGATAATGGTGATGGAAGGATGTATTGAGTGATGAAGACGATACAGACGATACAGACGTTACAGACCGCGAAAGTGATTGGGAATCCTCGTCGAAGTGAGGACTTTGTTACTCAATCTCGGCTCTGCAGACTCTACAGTGAGAGCTGGAGGTTCGTAGGGGACACCGCTGACAGGTGTTGAGAATAGTCCCCCTTATCTATATATTTACATGAGGGCAAAACCATTACGATATAAACCCCCTCCCCTATTAACTTTTATTTTCATTTATAGTCCTTCGTTACCTATTTGAAGTACAATTGGCTTTGAGTCCGAGACAGAACTAGCTAAATTTATATTGGACCTCGCCATCCTTTCCCTGCCCTCGCGTGCCAATGAGAGATGACTGAGGTCTTGAACTTGACCCCGATGGTCCAAATACTTGTAGTGGTGGGTTGACCAGGAGCTGTTTACGTGGGCGTCCTGACCCTGTCTTGAGTACCTCCAGCTTTTAGTGGGACACCAGAGTTGACCCTTGGTCGTCTGTAGATTTCGCCGCAAGTGTAGTTTATCCGTTCTCTCTATTAGTTCCTACCGTGCCTGCTGAACGCTGGACTTGTGTCCTGCGAAGTTCTGCCACGATTTGTAGTCCTTGCCGCAGTTGCAACAAAGTACCGATTTTTATTCTTTATTATAAGACCAGCTACATCAAGGCATTAGAAGATTTGATCATTAGATAGGGATAAAGAAAAAATGTATTAATTGATTTCATGTGCCTGAATTAAAATTTGAGAGAGAGTAATCGGATTTCCCTCAGTTCTGTGTTGGAATCGTCCGAAAATATCCTGAGCAATTTGTCCCGATAAACTTTTTCTCCAGAAAACAACTCATTAGCTAGATGATTCAAGTTTCGTCCGAGTAAAGTGTGCCTCATACGTGCCAATACGGAGCCACCTGTTCTACGCAAGCTGCTTCGACAGACGATGGAAATGTTATCGGGGAAGCAGTCATGTAAGTCTAGTTTCCATAGCAACCATTAAGGCTCACTTCTCGCGAGAACTATCCAGCACACAACTAACTTACAATCGCATCAGGATGGCTTCCTTAGCTGAGAAAGTTCAGGAAGTACGTTCTAATATTGATTCTATTTCTCCTTCCACAGTTATTCTAATAAATGAGATCCTGCTACCCGAAGAGCCCCAACAACCAAACGCACGGGCAAAATCGGCATCCGCTTCAACCAAAGGTAGCCGAACCCTCGCAGCGAATCCACGAGCGAAAGATACAGGCACGAAAACAAGAACGATTGAAAGTCAAAATGTACTATCTGTGAAGGAAAGGTCGATATTGGCATCCGAAGTAATAAATGCGACTCTCAAGTCATTAAGTGAAGCGATAAAGACTCAACCATCAAACTTTACACATGGGAAAAATATAGTGCAAACAGGAACGATATCCAAACGAAATAGTTCTCGTAGATCCAGCTTGGTTCAGGCGCATTCGCAGGTAAAAAATATAGACGCCACGTCTAATTGGGAAGGAAATCACCCCCATCTGAGATCAATTGCCGAATGTGCGAGGCTCGCATTCGCTTGCCTCCGTAATTTGGAAGCTACAAAAACACGATGCCTAAATCTGCAGCCTATGCAACTCGAAAACGGAATGTCAGTCCTGACTGGGAAGCTTATATCTTTAGGAATGAACGACCTTGCAATTAAAGAGCTCAGGGTCTTAAAACTTCGTTTGATCGGAAAAGATGAAGTGAACAGAAGAATTGCTATCAAAGCTTCAAACACTATTTCTTCTGGAATTCCTCTCATAGATTTGCTAGATTTCGGCAAACTAAATTCTACTGGTCTTAATCTAGGAATAGTAATATCAACCCAACTACAGACCCTCAGGCTGATTTCATTTTGCAAGAAGAGAAAGATTATTGAGCTAGCTCTCCCATTATTACAACCTTCAAATTCTACTTCCTTAACAAACCACTTATTAGTCGCATCCAAGCTCACTGAAGACCCTAAAGAGAAGGAGAAGCTAGTTAGACAAATTCGCAATTTCTCCGAAATCCTACTTTCGCTCTGCCCAAGCGTTTCTATTGCCAGCGACGCCATAGCTATTCAGTCAAAGGTCAATCCATCTCCAGAATTTGCATTTCAATACCAGACACTAGCAATCCATGCTCGATATTTGTGGTGGCATGTTGCTGGACATAAAGGAGATGCATCGAAGGATCTATTCCAAACTTTCCTTCGATGTCTCTCTACATTTGCACGTCGTAATCAAGCTTCTCCATCAGAGGCATTCTCTTTGGCCATTCAGAGTTATGATAGTCTAGAGGAAATCAAGGAAATGAGTTATACTTCCTTCTACTCAGAGTCTCTTGACCTAGTATTAGCTGGCATCTACAAGCTAATATCTTCACTCGCTAAAGATGCTAATCATATCGACACTGCTATTGAATGGGCAAACAAGGCATATCAGTTATTAAAGTCAGTCAAATCCTCAAGTGCGAAAATTTATAGTGCTCTCGCTCGACTTGTGTCTCTTCGTCTTCAGGCATCTTCACGAGGATTTTCGGATAAAGCAGATTTCCTCAATTTCCTCGAATGTTTAGAACGCCCTTTTAAAGGTCACCACACAGATGTAGATGATTTAATGAATGAAATCTCTCAGGCCAGAAGGGCAGCTCTAAATTTCATCCTGAAGCAGACTAGCTTATCCAGTACAGATGAAAAAGCAAGCACAGGTCTGGTAAAATTGTGTGAATCTCTCATTTTTTTATGTCCTCGGCTATCGCACAGATATCTCAACAACTTACCTGACATAAATTCTACCGCTCAAGTTGAAAGATATGAGGAGAAGAAGCGCTTCATTTTCAAGATTTCTATTCACGCAATAGACTCTGCTCTATTCCTCGAAAAGTCCTTCATGGGACAAGAAATATCTATTTGGGAAACTGTAGACCCTAGGCTGCAAGATTGTCTTAAGTTACTCGACAAATTTAACTTCGCTTCATACGAAAAAACAGAGCAAGACGCAACACTTATCCCTTCACAATCATACTATGTTCGGATTTCAAATCTTTACTACACATATTTTCAAAATTATTGGAAAAGTCAAAATTGCAAGGAAGATAAAAGCTCCATAAGAGCCCTACGGCGCTCAGTTGAATGTATTAAAGCTCGACCATTGAGGGAAAAAAACGCTGCATTCTTTACAGCAAAACTAGAACGACTCGCTGAGGTGTGCAAGGATACTGGTCGACAAGAAGAGCTTTTGCAAACACTTTATGTACTTCATGATGAAATGATCAACGATGGTACTTTTTCTATTGTTTTGGGCCGCGCCTCTACTGGATCTCTCAAAGATGCTTGGAATGCTACCCGCCAGACAATTATGCTAGGTCGAACAATCCACTCCATTATCAAAGTTCAACTCAAATGCGCAAAATCAGCCTCCCAAATAGCATTGTATAAAATATCACTTTCGTTGGAGGAACGAGCGATTGTAATGGAACATGAACTGGAATACCTATCCAAGCAACCTACCTCAAACTCTTCCACAACAAATGAAATCCAGCATAAGATTTTTCAGGAGCTCCTTGAAATATATGACCAATCCAATTATCCGTTACGTCGAGCCCGCATCCATCTTAAGATTTTGTCGACAAATTGCGGAAAAAACAGTCGGGAATTACAAAATGCCGAGTTTGAACTTGAACAAATTCTAGTCAACGGGTTTATCATTGACGGCACGAAGGATGAGGGGTTTTCTAACTATATTGATCATTACAAAACAATAGTGAGCATTTCAAGGGAGCTCAACAAAACTCAACCTTGCCTTGAACGGCTAGTAGAGGGGCTAACCGCTTGGTCTTTGCTAGCCAGTAAATGCCAAAGCCACGAAGATCTAGGGGTAAAAGTTGACGATATAGCTGGATTATTCGCAATCTTACACACCATTGCAGACTGGCTCCAGGTACATGGTTATGGCAATACACGAGTTACAGCCCTTCATCTTATTTCTGAGATAACCCAGGTATGCGAGGCTATAGTTAATTCAGATGAACTTGTCCTCAATTTTACGGCTCTGGGGCAGCAATGGCTTCGTCTTGGATATTGTGGTAAGGCCGGACTTGCTCTGGAACAAGCTAAGACATACGCGCAGAGAAGCGACGTATCCTCTTATGCCCACCTCAGATTACAAATATCTACTTGTGAATACCTGCTGTCTAAAGGAAATTTAACAGAAGCGTGATTTTCCCTTTTGAACCCTCAGAACAAGTGAATTTTGCTAACGAATCTTAGTGAAAGTAGTCTAAACAAAGCCCAGGCACTGTATATTCAGAGCGAAGATCATCTACCTCGATCGAGATGTGCATCATCGTTAGAGCAGAAAATTAAAATTAACTTGCTTATATCTGACGCTTATGATATTTATTCTAAGGTTGCCCTCCATCGTGGACTCTCCCAAGTTGCTCTTAGCCATGGAAAACAATGTGTACGTCTACTACGTCGTGCTTGGTCTATAATTGAAAATTACACAAGCCACAATGAGCAAGAAATCAATCAAACCCCTAGTGGGGAAGTTGAAGATCTAGCCTCGAAGCTATCAAACTTAAGTTTATCAAGTCCCTCTATATCAGCAGATTCTCTAGAAAGTATTCAGGACTATACGAGCTTTTGGGCTATCATTACGCCGCTATTTGATAGTCTTTGTTGCCTCTCTTCACTCTTTGCGCATCACGGAATGTTCCAAGAAACATTATATTATGCTGAACAAGCACATAAGCTTGCAAAACAGGTCCGGTCGGAAGTTTATCTCGCCACATCTTCCAATTTGCTAGGAAGCATCTGGCTCAGAGGGGGTGACTTTAACAAAGCAACCAATTTTCTTATGGAAGCCAAAAAATGCCTTCCCACGATCGAGAAAAGTAAAGACTTAGCCCTTCTTAACTATAATTTCGGGAAAATGTATGGTCTAACCGGTGATATTGATGCTGAGATAATTGCATACAACGACGCTCTTGCCATCTTGAATAATTTGACTACGATGAATCATATTTTGAGTTTGGAGAAATTCACCGACCCTGTAGATGAAATAAGTAAACGTGTGATAAAGTTGTGTCAGCCAACTAAAAGAACTGGAAGGACCAAAAAAACAGTCATGGTCTCTAAAATCTCCACGAGGGGAAAGGCAGCCACTCAAGCTAAATCTGCAACGGACACTTCGCAATCAGTAGCTATTGAATGTCCTAATTTATTGGCATTACAGTCTCATATTCTACGCGAAAAATCACGGGTTCTCTTGCTACAAAAAAGATATGTCGATGCGTCTGCCTTGCTTCAACAAGCAGAAATTACAATTACTTCAACCGACATCATTAACCACGGATTTGCATTAGCCAAACACTTGTTAATTCAAAGCCTCGATCAGATAGTTTCAGATCCTGTTTATTCGATCTTGCAAGATTCAACAATTTCGTTTCCAGCTGTGCTAATGGCTTCTAGATATGATAGGAATGGTGATAAATTGACCGTCAACCTTTTGTCTCCCACAAGAAAAGGTATCAACACAAGAAGTACTAGTGTCCGCCTAAATACGAATAACCCTTCCTCCGACAGCTTTTTTGAGAAGCTTCGCCGTGCTCAGGATCACTTGAAAGAACCCCTGGCAAACGCTCTTATAGTTTCGCCTATCGCTACTGTCTACGTCATGTCACACTTGCTGAACACTATTGCAATTTTGTTGTCTACAGCAAAACCATTGAAGGGACAGATTGTTGCACATCCGGGTCTCTCAAGCTTTTTTGTCGGTACGAGTAGTCTACGGGTATTTACAGGCCTTGGCTAACTAGCATAGAAATGGCTAGAAACCTTGCTCTCAAAAGGGAACAAAGCGCAATAAAATCCGACCCTCTAACTATCTACAAGTTAGATAAATCATGCTGGCCGCAGCTAAAACCTACTGATCTCAGAGGATCTCGGCTGGAATTTAATGATGACAATCTCACTCATTTTGGACGTGAGTATATAGATATTATTCCCAAGTCTTGGACTGTTATCTCTATCTCACTTAGTGAAAATCAACACGAACTTTCTCTCACTAAACTACAAGCCTGTCAAAGCCCCTTCATACTTAGGCTGCCACTTGGGAGAAATAATTCTATTGATGCTGACGAAGAAGTTTTTGGATTTGAGCAAGGACGTGCGGAATTGAGAGAGATTGTTCGACTCGCTAATGAATCAGCTCATGATGCTGGAAACCGCATAGACCGAAAATCAAAACTAATGTGGTGGGAAGAGCGAGAAGCACTAGATGCACGCATGTGTGCACTACTAACCAATATCGAAAAAGTATGGCTCGGTGGGTTCAGAGGCATATTTTCCCAGCACGTGAGACGGCCTGACCCACTAGCACGCTTTCAAAAATCTTTTCAAAATATCCTTGATAAACACCTGCCATCTCGTCAAAAAACAAAAAAGCGAAGCTCGGCTCCACGGGTCGGTCTCGACTCTCGAATTCTAGACCTTTTCGTTGGATTGGGCGATGCATCCGATTCAGAGTGTGATTTTTCAGAACCATTAACCGACTTGCTCTATTTTGTCGTCGACGTTCTTCAATTTCATGGGGAGCTGAACGCTTATGCTGAAGTAGATTTCGATATGATTGTGGTAGAAACGACTGATGCCTTGCGCTGTTACCACGAAGCTATTCGGGCTTCTGATTTTGACGATGAGCCTCAGCATACAATTTTAGTTCTGGATAAAGCACTACACTCCTTCCCATGGGAATCTCTACCTTGCCTTGACGGTCTTGCTGTATCACGCTTACCTTCCCTCGCATCTCTACGCGAACGAATAATTTGCCAACAAGATGACATAAGAAACGACAAGTCCCTAGCTCATTATGTTGATCGAGAAAAGGGCTCATATATCCTTAATCCCGGCGGTGATCTGAAACATACATTGAGTACTTTTGAAGGTAAACTTCAAAGTTTAGACGGATGGAAGGGTATCACAAATCGCGAGCCTTTGGAAGAGGAATTTAGAGATTTCCTACAAAGCACAGATCTATTTCTGTACTTCGGGCATGGAAGTGGATCACAATACATTCGAGCACGAGAAATCAAAAAGCTGTTAAGCTGCGCTGTCACAGTGCTAATGGGGTGTAGCAGTGGAGCTCTCGTTGAGACAGGTGAGTTTGAGCCATATGGTCCACCTATGAACTATGTGCACGCTGGGTCTCATGCTATCGTGGCAACTCTCTGGGATGTCACCGATAAAGATATTGACCGGTTTGCACAGAGCACATTTGAGCACTGGGGCCTATTCTCTGCATCCACTCCCTGCAGAAGTGGGTTACAGGACCATCAAAGATCGGCAGGAAGTGCGCCGAAGATGTCTCTCGTCGAAGCCGTTGCTAGGGGAAGAAAAGCTTGTACATTACGGTATTTGAATGCTGCGGCCGTTTGTGTTTACGGCGTTCCGGTTTATTTGCATGACTGAGGGGTCGGAGGGAGTATTTAGGGGCCAAAATTTTGGTCATAGTTTTTCCCTCATTGGAAAAATTGATGGAGGCTTTTGTGATAAAATTCTCTATACGTATATAAGTACAACAAAACTTGATAATCAATTTTTAATAAGTCTGGCTACAGGCCTTTAAATTAGAAAATGTAATAACTATGTATCATAGGAAACTCCCTCAAGGATCAGTCCGTACTTGCAAATTTGCTTGTAGATAAAACTTTTTCAGCAGATTAGAGCTATACGTCATCTATGAATGTCTGTATATCCTTCAAAGGCAATTATATGGATTTGGGTACTTGATTACCAAGTAATGTCACTGCATACTTGTCCAAGCGGCTTTATACAGAGTAGACTAATCCAAGAAGATGTTACTAAGCCTGCAATACACGCGGAGTCGCTTTTTAAAGTATCGGAAATTCTGACTCTCGAACTTAGAACTCACCCGTTATCTTTTTCGACTGAGGTTCCCCACAAGATCGTCTCTCTTTACATATATCTCGAGTGCACTAATCATACCTAATGTTACATGTACGTTTGTATAACAACGTACTGCAGTGTACCTTGGCTCATCATGGGAAATGAGAGGTGGCTGGTCATTCCTAGGTATGACAGGCACATGAGACTAGTGGGAATTTATCCCTTAGATGTATATGTAAGTTCAATGTTCGTATAATTGTAAAACATTAAGTCCTCTTTACTTCATCATCACACGTCCATATAATATTGTACAGAATATACTTTTCAGCAATTTTTCCAGAAGCTCTTCCTATATTCGAGTTACATAGCTGCTACTGTCTAGAAAGTAGTCAGCCAACAAACAAACAAACAAACATCATCTAAGGCACTTATCATCACAGCGAAACTTCCAATGACAAGACTCGCCTGGAGATAAACAATTGAGAACCAACCCACCCTCACTTTGGAGCTTTATGGATTCCAGTCCTTTACGCAGTGCTACTTAAAAGCTAGAGAGGATTATTGTCTTGCTACTAACTCATAGTCTATTTCAAAGATCCTGCGTCCATAATAAGTCGGGAAACATAGATAAGTACCGATCAAGACGATTTCAGATTATATCAAGCACCATAACTATCATTTGGCGCCCCTGAAAGCCCCTAACTTCTTTCTTTCGGCCGATCTTGCAAGTGGAGTATGACCTTCACTTCTCTATCCCATCCTGTCTCCCCACGAGAAAAACCAATCCCACTAGACAAAATTTTCATCCCGAAAATGAGTTTGCGATTTAGGGGTAAGTGCTGAGCAAATCTCTCCTGGGTGACGAGTAAGAGAGGTCGAGCCAAGAATACCATGCTAGCGGTAATGAGTAGAAAACCCCTGTGAAGCATACATAAGGAAGGAGTAGAGAGAGTACTTACAATGGTGAAGTTAAATCTAGAATACGGCAGGGAGCGCCAAAGTTTCCAAGTCCTGAATAAATCAATGATAGCTAGTTAGCCTTTTTTGTTTAAATATTGACTTCATGCTAGCACAAAACGAGATGGCCATGTACGGGCTGGCTCAATATATTCAAACAACTCGATGTATTTACTCGCCGGCAAAGACGAATTCTTCACCTTCCAGTGGTGCAGGTGTAATCGCTCAGTATGCTCTACATACCTGGGATAGCCAAGAAGAATCGCATCTAAATCGAAGTCGGAATCAACCTCACGCACATCTCAAATCGACCACTTCTTGTCAATGTCGGACCTATCATTCTCACGCGAGTCCTCTACCTCAATCTTGTGACACCACTTCGCCTCAAATTGCGATAACGGTGTTACTCCAACTGCAATCAGGAATCTACCTCGTCAAAAATTGGCCATCTCCCACTGCAAATTTACAATGCTATGTAAACCCGCAAGGAAACTAAGTCATAATATACAAAGCTTGGGACTTGGTCTATGGGGGACCGTTGCTCTAGTGGAGCTTCACATCTTGAGGGAGGAAAGGCAGCTGGGATTTAGGAAGAACGAGTGAAGAGGTCACAAATAGATATACTGAGATTCATATTTTTCGTGTCTTCGACTTAAGATTGTCTGTGAGTGCAGAAGCAACGATTTTGTATAGTGCTGCTGACGCTTTGCAACAGGCAATGATGGAAGATGTTGTGGTCCAGCTCCTAGTTGTCATCTCCTCGAATGAAAGTCTGGGTAGCCTGGACATCCACCTCACTCGAGAAAAGGAGCACTGTGAGGCCATATCTCGGGCAGTGGCTATATACAAGATGACAAAGGCATGTTAGGGTAGCCAAAGGTTTTTCTTGTTTTCCCCTTGGTGGATATTGACAGTTGAGGGAAGAGTGAAAGTCCCTAGCAACAAGGTCTCGAGCAGTATCAGCGAATGCACCCACTACATGAGTAGTCCAAATATCAAACTGAGTTGCGGTATGTAGTCGTCGGGGAAGAACTAATCTTCTCCGTATCATGTTCTAAGAGTGCTAGACTTGTGCCTATCACGAATAAATATTCATTCATTCGATGTGTTGGCGCACCCCGAGATACCCAACAGTGTGAAAATGGGGTGTCAACTGGCCAGCGCTAAATATACATAGCGAGAATTAGAGAGGCTGACACTCCCTGCCTTCCGTGAGGGATTATATGAGGCGTCAAGGTTAACGCAGATAACGCTTATATTCAATTACCTTGAACACAACTCCTCATAATACTTACTGAATCTCTTCGAAACCTCGCGTTGGCCTCCATCACACTTGGTACCGTCACACCTTCTTCGCAATTCAAATCGTCTTCTTTGTCCGCCTCGCCAGCTTCCATGCTCCAGCATCTATACTTTCCAATACTTCCAGTTTGGTTTTGTGGGAATTTACTTCCTAATGGCCCAAAAAACAGATCCTTGATATACATCCCAATACATCTATCTCATCTATGTGTCCGCAAGCTCTTTTAACCTAATATTCAAGACTTTTTTTTGGTAGGAGATCGAAAAGCCGCAGGCGAGTGGATTCTACGTATAAGTGTCGGTTCATAGGTGAATGGCGTAGAAATAAATTGCTTGTTGGGGGATATACTTCCATATTGCTAGGGAATTAAGGATGTAGAGTCACAGGGGTGATAATATACGGAGTGTCGGTCGATAATGTACACGCGTATTTACGTACGCAATGGGTCTCTCGATGGTGTGATGACTCTTTTTGGTTCTTCTTACATACAGGCATATCAGATTTAGGCGCGACGCGCCAAGCTGCACCAATCCACGTGACTAATTAACTATCAACATATGGTGATCTCTCTCCTGACTCATACATCCCAAAATAGTGTTGCGACAAGTAGGGTAATATGCGGTAGATAGACGAACATATAATGTGTCATAGGTGTACAGGATAATGTGAAGTTGAGTGCCGTAAGCGTTTTGTCTTGTTCATTAACGTTCTACGTACATGAAACACATCGCACTCTTACTGGAGCTTAAGCACGAGTGGGGCCGGGCCGGACCAGGTTCACTACCGTGAAGTACAGATAAAGCTCGTCCTATCTAAATGACCGGATCACCTCAGACTTCACCTATGTGTTGAATCGTACCAAGCCTGACCGTCCATAAACCCGTTGTATACATGCCGTAGCGCAAATTCCTCCTCAGCTTCGGCCACCACGCGCCCGAGCCCTTGACATTCTCATTGTCCTGGAAGTGTAAATGTCGTCCCAGATCTCATCGTTGCTCTAGCCTTGCACCTTCATATCGTACCGTTAGGTTGTTTTCGTCATTGGGCATCTATGTGATCCCCTCAGGGTGTATTCCCTTTTCTTCCTCCCTTGTACACATCCCATTTCCGTCATGACTTTCCTCGTTAAGGCATGTGCAGGTAGGTGATGTGACGAGTATGGAGGTGGATTGCAGGTGTAGGATCGACTGGGAAATGCTCCGCCGCAAGAATATAGGGAGTTTGAGAGATGTCGGATGTTTGAATACGAGCCCCCGACAGACCTATGCCCGTTCATGAATCATATTGTTGAGGAGATGAATTTTTGATCGACTTTCTCGTGGTTGCAGGGAGACTATTCTCTAGGCCTCGTCTGGCTGGGGCCGCAGGTTTTTTGAGACTTTTTCCCGCGCACGTAGTTTTCTTGCCACCTTATTTTTTTTCTTTTTTGGGTGGAAGGTTCCATGGAAAAGGTGGCCGAATTCCATGGGCAAATACGGCGCTGAATATGCATTCATCACGGGCAATATATCATTGATCTTTCAAGGAGCACTGTAAAAAGTATAGCCTGGGTCAGAGAGGAGCTCAATGTGCTAGATAGTCTATGACTCAAGTAGTACAATAAACATACCAGATACATCACATACGTACAAACCTCTATCTCATCTCTCTCACTCAACAACTAAGCTTCAACATCTCCTACATAGCTCTCTCGAAACAGTACAATCTCTCACAATTCCTCATTCGATCACACACTTTGAGGAACTCTTTAGCTTTTATTACCTCCCCTTTCTAGCCGACGAGGCAATGGCTATCTGCAGATGTTTGACTGCGAGGAGAAGTCGCAAAAACCACTAGGTGTGGGGCTCTCCTAATTCCGACATCATGACTAAATCTAAAGACATAGCTGCCCTTTTGAAACGTTTGAACAGGCCGGCCAGCTAGTCGCTGCAGACTTGTATGTACCTGGGATACTCACACTCTGCCTCTCTAGCCATCTTCCTACGCCTTCCCGAATGACGTGATGAAATATTAGAAAAGTCTTGATAGAGCATGTTTTCTGTAAAGGAGCTTGGTTTAACTTAACTGTGCCGTAGACTTACAGGCAATGCGAGTCCCGACTCATTACCCGAAACCTTGATCTTGGTGCCCACAACCATCCCAGTCAAAAGTCCCTCTGAAAACGTCAAACACAGTATACCCATCGATGACTCGGTCTCTCACTCGTTCCGTGTCCTAGCTGCCAGTCTTCTCCAAATAGTAGAACCCTATTGCAGCAGCGGTAACTCATAAGATACACACAAGCTTTGTAACTAAATTTTAATTTTACTCCTTATGGGTTTATATAGCATCTTAATTTTACAGTGGGGGATGGCTGGCAATCGGTGAGGCAAGCTCCCGTTTGTAATCGAGACAACTATTCACTCAGCCGACGAGTCGAGATGGAGTATGGTGAGATTAGGTTGGAGGACTCGCATGACAATGACAAGATTGATATTAATGATAAGTCGCTGATATTGGATATGATTTTGTTACCTCTCGACTTTGATTCGGACGCGATTTTATTCTGTTTTCCAAGGAATTCTGAGCATTCTGAGCGTTAGCACCGGCATTATGGAAAGCGAGGGATTCGACCAAGCCGACACTCTTTCAGATTAATTATGGCACGAATCTTCATTTCTGCAAATATCATACATTGTAGACTACTATCAACTTCCTTTGTTATCTATACTATCAACTAGCTAACCTCATTGAAAAAAGGACAAGATAGAACAGCCCACAACTTGCATGATGTAATCACAACCCCCTTATAAAGTTAAGCCCACGACTGGGCGGAATCTTACTCTCCGTAGGTTAGAGTGATGATAAACCTGGAGGCGACCATCAGTTGGGACTGTGAAAATCTCAAAGTACACCCCTTTCACAGCAAGGGTCACGAAGAATAACGCTTGTACTTGTTTGTCCCCTGTGGCGCTGGATCATTGGCATACTAGATGAAAGGTGTAGGTCTCGGCGAAGATTCAGGAACGCTTTGATGAGTACTTGCTCTTCTGAAGGGTCGTTTTATGCTAATCCATGAATTATGATGAAATCAACGCACACCTTCTGCCGATGAAGTGTTCCAAGAGCTCAAGCTTTTGGGAGTGTACAAGATCTATAGGTTTCCTGCGGTGTACATTTGTGATTCTTAGCTATATTTCTGGTCTTTTGGATCTTTCTGGCCTCAGACCAGACCTTTTTGGCTGTGGTTTCAATGACTGACCATGTGTCCAAGAATACTCACTATCTGAACTTCTAGTGGTCTAAATGCCGAGAATATCATCAATCCGATTAGGTGTCTATTCTTGGGTATGATGACTCGGTAGCCGAAGTTCAAATAGCTTAGCAAGATAATTTGTAGGAAAATGACTAGAAACGCTAACACGATGGCACTGCAATGAGGTAGCATATCGGGCAAGCACATACTCACCCTCGTGAGACTAAGTGTTTTGAGTCGGACAATTGGTACGGGATTGTCCGAGCTTTGAGTTATAAGCACTCTCCCTATCCGTGCAAGATGATTCCACGATGACTTTTTCCGGGAGCCTAACTTTGTTTTGCGCTCTGTGTGGATTAAAATAGTGTCGATCCCCTTGGGTGAAGGGAGTGCAGCTGCACTCAAGCTACAATGCCATTTTCTCACTGAAAGATGTGCGCACCCTTCGAGGCGGATTTTCAAAGCGGGAAAGGGCGATTCCCAAATCTGCTCCTTAAGTAGACATGCATGAGAAATAGAAACCTCATTTCCTTCGAAGCCTAATCCTGTATAACGGTGGGAAGGGTTGAAGGATTACCAATCGGCCTTGGTTGACATGTATGTGTCATAGAGAGATGTCGCACGACCTTGTCAGCCAGGAGGCTACCATTCTCCGAAACGATGATAGTTCTGGTACGCTAGGTAAGCCGACAAGTCATTGGAACTCCGAATCCTCGAACCTCTCGCTAGCTCTCGCCCCATCCGGCCCGAGGCGCCATAGCTCCAGACCGGCCTTGTGCCGGAGGGACGCAGAGAATGAGGTCTGAATAACTGTCGCTGCATCAACTGCTCGTCCTTTGGGAACCCATCAAAACATTTACATCGGCTGTCCAACCTGAAACAGAGATGCCCTGCTGACGGGTGGATCTACCCTCCAAATTCCATCCGAAAATATCCAGAAGTTCGTCGATGGATCGGCATTGTACAGTGTGTCAATGAGTCCCCTGTTTCATACACCCCTTGCTTGAAATATCGCATGTCTGCGGGTGTCTGTGTCATGGTTATTAACCCTCCAGAATACTGGGATCATCCACTTCTTCTGCACCTTCTTAGCTTATCTAATGTTTATTAATAGGGTATCTGACTCCCCGCTCTATTTTGGCTGTTTGGTAGTATCCAAACACGCTACAAACGCGGAAAAGTCGATAAGCCGTTTATTTGTTCACGTAGGAAAAACATTGGTTTCGCATGTTCCCATTGACTGGCTGATATATGTCAGTGCATAACGGTACCAGCAAGCCATTTTCGCACTACTTCCTGTAGTGCCAGCACGGAGTATCTAGCAAGTCTGGCCAATTTCTGATGCTCTTTCCCTATCACATTAAGCGGAAGGGTGATTCTCGCGCGCAAAGCCAGCTCCATATTTAGAATTGAGTAATCTACATGTTTGACAGGTAATACGCAGGGATAGCAACCCAAATTTGGGCGTTGGCGGTTCGCAACGGTCTGGGAATGTTAATATCCTGAACCAAATAATTTTTAAGGTTTAATGTATGATAAATCAAAAAGCACTTTATCCAATCGGTGTTCTATAATTCTATTATTTGAGTTATAATGAAATAATATTATACTAAAAACGTGTACTGTTGGACCCGATGTCTGTTATGACGTTGTCCTAAAAATAGCTTTGAAAATATCGAGATATCCATGCCGCGAAAATTAAAATTGAAAAAATAGCCTGAAGAAAATTCAAAAGTTCAAAACGTAAATACCAAGATTAAAGGCCATGAGAGATGACCCAACTCACATTCCCCCCTTCGAAACATAGTAAAATGGTAAAGAATTTACTATCAAGACTCTGCCCATGTTGGTCTCGATTCTGATGGCGATACAGCTTCTTGTGGAGTATGCGTCACATCAGAGATAATTTGTCTAATTTCTCACTTTGTATCGGTTGTGATCGGACGCGCACCCGCATTTCTGCGTCTTGCCCTATCATTCTCCATCGCAATGCTCGCTGGAGTTTAGCGCCCAATGCTAATTTGCTAAGGTATTCGAGTTTTTCTTCTGATGGAACGAATCTCTGAGTAGCCAGTTGCTTATTTTCAAGCTTCGCCATGACTGCTTCAATCTCAGAAAATTCATCTTGGGTGGAGGGAGAGTAGATGCTTGATTGAATGGAGGACTTGGCGCTGAGTATGCTGGAGCGGGAGGAATTACTTCGCGATGGAGGCTGCGGTATTTTGTTAACATGGGGCACTGGATAGGGGGAAGCTATCGTAAAGATAGCCGCTATGGACCCACAATGGACGCCACAATAGGTCTGGAGGAGTCCTGAGAGACTCCCATTTCAATTATGTTCTTGACTTAAAATTGGGTGGAGTCGCGTGAAGGGTGCGAGGCGCAAAATAGTATGCTTTCGTGTTGTCAGTTAAATAATTGAAGAGAAGCAGAAATTAGGCCTTGGTCAGAATGAAAATACTTGTTGACCTCTGTCAACTGAGGATGGGGGTTGTAGTTCTTTAATAGACCGCTTTAACGGGTTAACTATCATGATTCTCAACCCTGGTTGAAATCATGACGGGCGAGTGCCGAACGAGTGTTTGAGTTGGCTGTTAACGCTCAAATGCAGGTCGCAAGCATGCGGACTCGTCCCCTGTCGTCTGAAATATGACAGAGGGCTGCCGCGGGTTAGCCTTGTAACTACACCAGCTCTATCCCTCCCAATCCATGCTATTAGAGTTACCCAATCATACTCGGGCGGCAACAGAGTAATCGTTTCTCTTGTTGAAATATTACTGCCCAACACAGATTACTAAACCACATCATCTCCCTCCGCTTTGAAACATGCCCAGACCTAAAAATCTCCTTCCAACAAAAAAGAAGTCGAAACATAAGGCAATAGTATAGAACGGTTGGTAACAGCTTTCATCTTCGAATTAACTAACGCGCCCGGTAGGTTCCATCTACTATCGATGAATATCTAGCCGGTAAGCTCACAACAATCTCAATTATTAGTAACCTAATATTATTCTCTAGCTGGTGTTGAGTTTGAAGAAGCCGGTGAAAAATGGCGTTGCGGTGATGTTGAAAAAGTGATCTTACCGTATCCCATAAATATTCATTCAAGGCTAATAATCACAAAAGTCGATAAGGTTTTTCATGCGTGCGTTGAATTGCTACAGTGAAGCTTTAACAAAATTCCCGAGCGCCTTTGACCTGGCTTATAATAAGTTAGCACTCTTGTGGATCTTTGAGATTCAATCCGTAGTTAATGGTTCCCATAGGGCGCGGCTTCAGTATGAGTTAACTCAACATCCCAAAATAATCGAAAAAATACCCGGTACTCTTAATGAACTCCTAAAGACCTCACTAGAATACAGCAGATACGCACTAGCACTCAAGTCCGACTCTCCCGATATTTTATTGTTCGTACACTTGCTGTCATATCCCCAACTCAATCTAACCGTATCAGTAATACCGCCCAAGTATTAAACAGTATTGTCGAAGATCTAGACGGAAATAATGAATCTTGCGATACAGACCCAGTAAAACTTCTTGAGGAAGCTCTAGTCCTTTTTCAAAAATGCCTCCACATCCAAGAAAATATGATTCATGAACAAAAGATATATGCTGCGGAAATAGAGGGTTCAGATAGTTCTATGGATAAAAATAATGAGGAAGGGGGCGTTTCCATTGCTACAACTATACCTACACCTACTTCAAAGGATCTGGATCAATGTGGAGACCGCTGGGCTAGGGTTGTTGAACCAGTCACTCAAGACACTCTCCTAGATACCGTATTAGCCTCCATCGAAACGCTTACGTCTCTTTCTCAGCTGATAAACCCCCAAAATTCAGAGGCACTCTTTATTGTGCAGAAATATGCTTCTAGTATCACTTCAAAATTAGAAGATTTTCTAACCAATAAAGGCCGTATTTCTGAAGCGTTGATCACTCGGGCCAGTTTTCAATGTGCCTTTGCTACCGCCCAGTTTCGCTGCTCTCATATAGACTTGTCTACCTTTTCCCGAGTCACCAGTAACGCATATTCAGATATTGATTTATCTGCAAGCCCACGAGGTCTATGCGAATGCGCAGAATCATTCATTTCTTACAATACTTCTTTGCGACAGAAGGCTAGTGATCACAATGATGAAATCCTTCATATGCGATGGAAAGCTCTCACATGGGCTTCAGAGCATCTTACGGCTGCAAGTAAACTTTCTACCGCCGAAAATATCGAAAGAATACATCTCACGAGGGGGGATGTCGAGCTTTTGCGCTATCAGCTAGGTCAAGTCGAAGGAGGAATCTCTATAGCCAAAGCAAGCAGCACTGTTCTATTGCGGAATGCGGGTAAATTTTATCGTGGCTCCGCATCATTAGCAAGAAACAAAGGTATGCAGAGGGTGGCTGCAGAGGCTGCACTAAAAGCAACCATAGTTTTGGGACTTGTTGGAGAGCTAGGAGGGCTCGAGCAAGCGGATAATTTTGATTCTCTTACTTTGACGATGATAGAGGAGGCAATTGAGGATGGATTGGTAACTTCCACGCAACTTATGCGACCAGGAGTAAATATCATTAGCTAAAATGCTAAGTTTTACATCAATAGTCTCTCAACCTTTTTTTGCATCAGGTATTAATTGCGTATGCAGCTATCTAGCTATGACACAATATCAAAGAAAAGTACAGAAATGATGACTCAATTTATAAGAAGAGTACTCATGCCTCGGATTTCATTTGCAAGTACCGCTGCGGAGTTATGGTGACTTTTTCTTCACCTCAAGTCAACCCTCATCCGTGAGTACGTCCCCAGGAGAATTTCTCAAAACCCCTGAGTTATCCAGACATGTCTCCATCATCCATGGGCTATTCTTCGCGCGAAATATGATCTTAGATGTCTCCTTCCCAAGCGGAGTAGGTGCCCAGGCTGCTCAAACCATACCAGAGAACACCACCAAGAAGCGGACCACGGCACCTTCCATCGTTTGCTTGTTTTTATGTTGTTAGCTGCACTCTCGCAAGCGAAGTATTGATGCACACAAAGCTCAATTCGTGGAACTCCTTGCCAAAAATCAGTATTACACGCCCTTCGAGGTTATATCCTTTTTTTGCATCATCTTGTGAACTTGTCTTAGTCCCTCTCACGTCCATCTCATACAACCGTCTCCCAAACTTGTGCGTCACGCTTTGCTTCCTCCGTCGGGTGTATATATCGGCGTGGACATGTATTTGGTGGTCAACTGAGACCAGAGAAGGTCAAAGAGTGGTGTGGTCATTGGGATGAGGATGTACTTGGTCATACTTGTAGGCTTGATGAGACTTGGATAGGATGCAAACTCGTTGGGAGCGAAAAAACGACGTGGTGGAGTAATTTGAATGATTGTCTCGTGGGCCAACTCCTTGAGTATTGCGAAATCTGACTGAAATTGGTTTTGGGTGAATACTTTACTCCCAGGTTCGTAGAGGACACCGCGTACAGGTGTTCAGTCTTGCCCTCCATTTTTCCAGCTCGTTGGCTGGTCGACAACTTATGTCGGTTTCCAAAAGTTCCTTTGATACAATCGTTAGGTCGATGGTACTTTGACTGCCTCTATTCTTTCAAGTGATAGTACCCTCGGGCAGTACAAGTTCCAACTCCGGGATGTAGGTCAATTCTATTAGTTTATTTCCCAGTTTGTTGTGTCTCACTGTTGCCCGGTCTCCCCACTTTGGGTGATGATGATTCAAGTCTCTAACCTGAGCATATTTGCCATCTTGTTCTGGGAGCTGGTAATCAATTTTTGCGTCCCTATCTCCATGCTGCTGTGGTACATGGGCGGGAGATTGTAGACGTATGCACCTTCACTCTTCCTACATCAGTTTGAAGGCTGATGGATGTGATATCACCGCTTTTTTCTTCGGGCGCTTCCTGGGTTCTCCATTTTCCCGTGGCCAGCATCTTGCTAACAAATATGCAAGTTTGACCTTTTGGTTTTTTTGAATACCAGATGATCTCCCAGTTGGTTGATCGTGGAATGATTGATTGTGTTCCACCCAGGAATAGATTTTTACTATTGCTGGGTATGAATATTATCGCCTCATGTACTCAGCTTGGCACACTTTAATGGATGGCTATTCCTCCAGCGTCTTTCTGAAGTAAGGGAGACATATATTTATATCAATAGATATATTTTTATAGGCAGCTACGTTAAACCGTGAAAGAGTAAACTCAATAATTTTGATCTAGCGCTCTGACACCCCGTGCAGATGCCTACGAGTAATGTATACTTTATGTAGAATGGCCCATTTTGATGTTTGGAATACTCATAATCAGATTTCACTGGTAAATACTACTCGTTGTTAACCCTTACGCTGTGTAACCTCTTCTGTGAGCAACCATCATAGAGAAGAGCGTGAGAACACCCCGGATATCCGAGTGTGCTTTCATGACCATAAAGTTACGATACCATCCCGAGAGGGAGGTGGAGAACGAGTATTTCTGGATTCGAACCGGCGATCTCCCGTCTCATGTGGGCACATCTCCTGGCTATCCTAAACTACTGGGCAAAGTAAGCCATCCGGATTACCGTTGCACCATCCAACTGATGGGCTGACATTTCCCTTCAGCTAAGCTACTTGGACCCTTAACTTCTCTCAAGCTTCCATATACCCACCCAGGGGAATCACCTTGTAAACTTTTATTTACCCTGGCATGACTGGGTCGCCTCATTTTACCAGATAGCTAGGCAAGCTGTGACTCGCTCTTGCCAGGCTCTAATTGGCGATCTCCCGCCTCACACAGGGCATGTGAGCAGGTTATTAAGTAACCTCTTGGTAACTGTCCTGGATGGCATACCACAAGACTATCTGGAGAATCTTTGGATAGTCATTGACAGGCATGTGAAGATAATCAAAATCACCGAACTATATCTGCATGGAGTATGGATGCTCTCCGCCGGCAAAGACGAATTCTTCACCTTCCAGTGGTGCCGGTGTAATCGCTCAGTATGCTCTGCATATCTGGGATAGCCAAGAAGAATCGCATCCGAATCGAAGTCGAAAGCAAACACATGTATATCTCCATTTGACGACTTCTCAACCATGCAGCACTCATCATTATCTTCTGAGTCCTCAACCCCGATCTAAGCACATATCAACTCGCCTCGCCGACCGATAGAGGCGTCACCCTAACTGCAAACAGGAGCTTGCCTCATTCATTACCGGCCATCACTCTCTACATATTTACGACGCTATTTATACCCGCAAGGAGGAAATCAAGTCGAAAAATACAAAGTTGGGGTCTTGGTTTATGGGGGACTGCTGCTCTAATGGGGTTATACATCTTGAGGAAGAACAGGCAGCTGAGATGTGGAGCGAGAGGAGAAAGAAGACTCTGAAGACTGTGTTGGGACTGACATTTTCGAGGAGTTTCCAACTTTGGATTTTTTGTGGGCGCCAAGACTAAGATTTCGGCTAATTAGCCAGGAGGGCTTCTTTTGTCGATGAGTCAACGGCACTCCCCAGCGCCCTGGACGGTACAAAAGAAGTTAGGCTAAGCTACTATACAGCAATCACGCTCTGTCAAGACTTTTCTGACATTTCAGCACGACCTTCGGGAAGGAGTTGGAAGGAGGCTAGAAAGGCAGAGGGTGAATTTTCCGAGGTACACACAAGTCTGCAGCGCCCAGCTGGCCGGCCTCTTCGAACGCTTCAGAAGGGGCAATATGTCTTCGGATTTATTCCTAATGTCGGTATTAGAAGAGCCCCGCACCCAGTGGTTTTTGCGAATTTTCCCGGCTGCCATACACCCGCAAATGGCCATCGTTTCGTTGGCTGGAGAGGGGAGATAATGAAGGGCAAAGGGCTCCTCTTAGTGTATGGTCGAATGAGGACTTGTGAGGGGTGGTACTGTTTGAGGGGAGCTGTATGGGAGGCATAGGAGGGGATATACTACTGGTATAGGTATCCTTGGCCTGTAGGCAGAGAGGACCTGCATGTCCTACATAGTCATAGACTCAGACAGGACAATAAAAAAAATGAATTAATTAATTAATTATGGATGCTCTCCATAAGCTACTAGGTACAGTCTCATTTTTACTCACTGTCGTTCGTGGTGTCAGGTTTCCCTCGAAAAAAATTAAATATGATGGACGACAAATGAGAGGCACTGATTTCGAGACAAAAGAGGGTAGGAGCATTTTACGATGTGTGAACTACTGAGAATGGCCCTCACTGTCTATGAGAACACAAGTTGAATTGATTATTAAAAATACTCCAATATAGCTAGACTCTGTCACATAGATTCTAGAAGTCCTCTATAGTCTTAGACTCAGATAGGACTATAAAATAAATATAAATCTAATCTAAGGTGTGAACTAGGTCACAGAGAAACACAATGTACTAGATACTTACACATAGTACAATAAATCCAAAAAATTCATTTCAGTACCCACGCGCATATTATTCGCCTCGCTTATGTCGCTTACTAAGGAGCCACCCACAGTTCTTGCGTCTTTGTCTGATACATAAGATGTATATTGGAAATTTCTTCCTGCTAGACTTAATTTTGGCATCAGCTATCCTCACTCAGGTAGAAAAAGATTAATTCTAACTACTCAGAGAGGAGATAACAGGGTTAATGCCCTTCATTTAGAGCATCGTCAGGCAGAGAGCTAGTGTCTTGGACTAGAGGATAACGTGATCGCAAGCGAGTGATATCGGCGACCCAAAACAATGGCCGCCAAAGCATGAAATGCCTTTATTATTATTCTCACAACATTTTCGTGATTAACTTCCTAATTCATGCACAGCGCTTTTTTGTCGGCCACACTGCACAGTACTTTTTAATCATTCATGTTCCGAGGCAAGTTTAGCCCATAAATAAGACCGGTTTCCTCATGACAAGACCCAGCTACCTCTCGTCCTAAATGCAGGCCCATCATTAACCCACTAACTTGAGCATTAGCATGATCAGTCACGTGCAAAAATGATATCTAGCTCTTCATAATTGTGATCTGCAAAGCAAGGCAAGTTTAAAGTTTATCTTTCATTCACAGTTTCGGCATGTACCCGGTGGAGATGTGGATTCAGGTCGTAAATTTCCAAGAGATGTCTTTTTGTTCATGGCTATCAGCTGATCTTTATTTTTGAAAAAGCGGCTACTACTGAGTAAGTTGACGAGCTGGTGAACAGATCTCAATTTGTCGGAGTCTTGTTATAGAGGCCTTTTTTGTACAATTATACGTATATCCTTGTTTTCTCTGTGTTGTATTTCACTGAACCGGGAAGCTAAAGAACTACCAAGTGTTCTACATCACCTGTGCCGCGGGCGTTCGGCCATTCACTTAGTCTGGCAAAAAAAGTCGTTGGAGCAGCTTTCTGTTGCTGATTATACATCACGTGATATTTAGGAAGCTCAATTAATTGTTCAGTTGGTCTGAGTTCGAATCCGTGAACTTACATGTTAGTAGGAGGAAGCCTTCCGTCCAATGGGATCAGCTTGACTACTTTCCACGTAATGTAACAGGGATTTCGGTAGAATAAATTACTAGCTGGCAGGCAGAAATCTGGAGAGGATATGGATAAACTAGAGCTGTTGACAGCGCATAGATGTGGCCAATGGCGCATTTGGAAAATTCTTTCCTCAAAAGATCTACCTACTTGCAGAATACATGCAAAGTTATTGTTGTTGTTTACAGTCGAAGAAAATTGAAACTATTCCTACATCTACCTTTGACGATGAGAGCAGGCAGTTACTGTTTGTTGAATATTCGAAACATCATTATCCAAGCAATTTACGGCCCGCATATGTCATTGAGCGTATAAGGGCCCAGTTCGATTAGGTATCACGTGAGGTGCGCACGATCTCGCTTAATTTAGTTGTCGAGGTAGACGCTAGTCCTGCATTGGACGACTGGCACTGACGATTTCAGCTCAAAGAAATAATTGACGGTTCGGCGTCACATTTTACTTGTCGACCTTCTTTGTGCCGTCTGGCTCTATCCCACAGTCTACACCTTCGCAATCTTCACATCTTGATCTTGACTATCTACCAGTCTTGTCTCTAATCAATTTATTTCAAATATCGCGTCTAACTCCCGTAAAAGATTAATATCTTTGGCGGCATCAGGAATTCATATCCAAATTAAATTGTGGCATAGGAACTGAAAGTATCGGCGCGCCTATCTTTGCATAATAACCAACAACTTCTTGATTGAAGCTCAAATTTTTGCCAGAAACTGTCCGAAAATGGCAACCAATGGTAGTTCAGTGCAACCAGACCATTACAAAAATACAAATGAGCAACACCCAGCAAACTCATCTGCAACTGAGACTCACTCCGAAAAACCCTCTGCGACAAACGTTCGCAAAGATGAAGTTGGATGGTACTTTGTCGAAAAATACTATAACACACTGAGCAGGAACCCTGAGAAACTTCACGTATGTTTGTATTAAACTTGTAATTAATAAACTTACTAACAAGGATAGTTATTTCATGGTCAGTTTTCCCAGTATGTTTCTGGTCTTGAGGCTGTTGTATCTCCTGTGTCAGTTGGTCGAAGTGTAAGCACAAACTACTATTATACTACTATCTCTCAATATACTGACGAAATAAGGCAATCCAAGAACGGATTAGGGAGCATGGATTCCAAGACTGTAAAGTCCGTATCACAAATGTAGACTCACAAGCCTCCTACGATAACATCGTTATTCAAGTCATTGGTGAAACGTCAAGCATGTCTGCTGAGCCTAGAAAATTTGTCCAAACTTTTGTTCTAGCTCAGCAACCTACTGGTTATTTTGTCCTTAACGATATATTTAGATATATTGTTGAAGAAGTCGAGGAAGAACCCACTCCCATCGCCCAAGAAAAGATCGAAGAAAATGTACCCGAACCTGTTAAAGATGAATGTGAATTGCAAGCAAACATCTCAGCCGATGAAATTCCAGTTGCTCCAGCTGATGTTGATGTGGTCGAACAAAAATTAGAACCTGTGGTCCCGGACCTTGGCGAAGATCAATCCAAAATTGTCAATGGCACGTCGGCTATTGTGTTAGACGATCTACCAAAAACTACAATCCTAGAGGAAGTCCCAGTTCCTGACGTCGAAGAAAAATTAGTAGAAGAGGAGGTAAAGCCATTAGAAGTAATGCAAGAAGACCCGCCAACTCCACCTGCTACCCAAATCCAACCCGTGAGCAAATCAATAGCTCCAGTGCAGCCTTCTGGCCCCCCAAAACCATTAAGCTGGGCTAGTCGTGCTGCTGCCGCAGTCGGCTCAAATTTAAAGCCATCGGCGCCTGCAGTCCCTTCCACTACCGTCCCGAAATCTGCTGTAACTTCTCAGGTTAGAGCTGCATCGTCAACCACAAGACCATTACCTACGCCAAGCTCCTCATCCACCACTCAAAATGATCGAGAAAAAGAATCCACACTTCCTCCAACAGGAACTGGATCTGGGTGGCAAACAGCTGGTGAAAACCCCAAGAAACAAAATAGGCCTCAGTCTATCTCTGCACCCCTCGAAAAAGAGGGCACAATGGGCTATGTGCGCAATGTAACCGAAAAAGTTAACACCGAGGAACTACGTGCGGCTCTCAGCTCATTTGGAAATTTAATTTACTTTGACATCAACCGATACAAGGTAAACCAACCAAGTTTTAACTATTACACACTAACGAATATAGAACTGTGCATTTGTAGAATTTGCAACGACCGAAGGATATCAAGCTGCCGCTAGTGCTAGCCCGCACCAGGTATCTGGTGAACCAATTTATGTTGAACCGCGTCGACCAAAGGCCAACGCATACGGAGGAAGTGGAAATGGATATCCCAGTGGACGTGGAGGAGCAAACCAAAGGGGTCGTGGGGGCTTTCCCAACCGAGGCCGTGGGCCAGGTGCACCCCGAGGTCGAGGACAAGCTAGTAACGCATAAATATGTCCGAAATACCTCGTGTCGGTCTTGTTTTACCAACATATCAATATCATCGACGCTGTACTATACTTGGATCTTATCAGGGCCAAGACTGTACCCTACCCGCGTTACTCCCATCCGCCTTCGCCCTTATTTTCGTCGTTATTATTTTACTTCAACGGATTCAAGAGGGAATAAAATATGCCCAATCAATTTGTTTCTCACCCCTTTATTTCGAAGCTATTTTGGAACAGTGGGCTGTGATAATGCGACTCTCGAGTTGGTCCTATTTTTTTCACGCGGAGCTGAAGGGTTCTCTGAGAAGAGATAAATCCAAATACTCTTTCTAATAAGGTGAGTTTCTGGTGTAGATAAGCGTAGGTTTTGACAGGTAAAAATGAGAAAGAGCCGGAAGTCATTCATGGATGAAATTGTATAAGGACAGCCACTTCGGCCCTGCGGGCAAATGTGCATTAGAAAGGAATGCATGTAAATGGGCTATCTAAAGACAATTCCCCTTAGTTAACGACTGAAGCTAAACATGATGAATTGCTAAACTCCTTGCCCCTCGAATCCCATAATGCTGGACCATTGTAGTAGGTGAATTAAACTGATGCTATTAAATATCTGAATTGCTAGAACATCCAGTAGAATAGCTCCTAATTTGCTGACAAGCGGTGTAATCTCTTCCCTTATAATAGAGTATTTTATCAAGAGAAGGGAGAAGGTCACAAATTGTAAGTCATGGCGACATCGGTAAGGCTGCAGCTGGTCACAAAATATGCCAGAAAAACCAACAAGGGTCAGATGCTACAGACTTACCGCCTTGTACGGTTAGATTCATAGTTGTCCGATTTAATTTGAACTGATTGTTCACGTGACATTATCTGGTAACCTAGTTCGGGTGGCTTACATAAGGCTCGGCACATCCTTAATCGAGTAGCTCACATCGTTCCTCCGCTACACAGAATTTAAACTTCGTATTGGATTCACTTGTACGAATAGCTACCGTGACCAGTCCTTTTACATTAGAGACTCATCAGATGGCTCAATTTTCTTTGAAGCAATATATTTACCAGCCAGCCGTGCTTGTTTCATATATGTTCTGGCAATGATGAACCATTCCTTGAACTGGAAGCTCACAGTCGGAAGGTTATGGTACTGAGACAACACAATGACGAGAAGCATAGTCCTAACATGAGGAATTTGGAAAATTAGCGGCACGTATCAAATTTTCACCAGCAAGCTTGTAACATTTCGGAATTTTATGCCTTGACCTCCTTTTTCTGTAAGTCTCCACAAGATTCTTGCTAAGTGAAGTAGCTCTTGAATGCCAGAGAGAACGTGAACGTTATTCAAGCACCTGAATTCTGATGAGGGTGAATAAGATCTATTCTATTGGAAATGTAAGGGATAAAGGCTTGGGTGTAGAACTATCCTTTACAAGTCTTTGTCGCCGTTAATTCTTCAACAAGGTGAATATCGCCTAGAAACTCCGTTTTACATCCAAGTTAAAGGGACGAAATCTCAAACCCTGTCTCTGGTGTGCCACACAAACCTTTAGATCCCACCGTAGAGCCTGCAGTGCCGAGATTGAGTAACATCTCCGTCATCATTTCGATGAGGATCCCCAATCGCTTCCGCGAACTATATCGTCTTCAACCCTCAGCATATCCCCTATCACCATTATCATGAGGCTCACCACGATCAGATCAGATGTTAGGGTCGAAGCCTAACATATCACCCACCCTTGGATATGTAGAAGCCATTCGATGAGTTACCGAAGCGTACTCAGCATCCGATGTGGCGATGGTGGATTGTATCAAGATGGCCTCTAATGTTATAAAGAAGGGAGATATGGATGGATATGCGCACCTCGCCTGACTGGGACTGCAGGTTTTTTTGAGACTTTTTCCCACGCACGCAGTTTTCATTGCTACCTTTTTTATTTTTTGTGTAGAAGGTTCCGTGGAAAAGGTGGACGAATTCCACGGGCAAGTACTGAGCTGAATGGCTATTGGTGATGGGCAATGTATCAATGATCTTACAAGTGACAAAAGAGGATAGGAGTACTGTACAAGGTGTAGCCTTGGCCATATAGGAGCTCAATGTGGTAGATTGTTTTTGGATCAAGTAAAAAATAAACACACATCTATCACTCCAGAGGTCTGTGAAATCGGGCCACTCAATGTCGGCAAATATGCTCTCGATATACCAAGCTTTTTAGATGATATTTGGGTCTGTGCACTGCAGAAATTAGAACATATTTGACTTTCTCTCATAGGAGGGTATAAAGAATAGGAGATAGTAAACCTACCCAGAGACCTATTAGCTACGTCGAATGCCTTTTAGGCATAAGATTACCGGGAAACAACCCATTATATCGCATATCACCAGTCTCACTCTTGAAGGCGTACAGGGGAAACTGACCTAAGAATTAGACTAGAAAGTTATTGACTTGATTCAACAAGGCATTTTCAATTCGCTGAGGCAACTCTCAGCTATAGTATTAGTGCTAAGAACAGATATCAGCCCAGCCATATGGACCAGATAGACATAGATGATACCCCATCTCGCCCTCCCTGATTTGATGCCGGTGACGGATGTTAAGGTACAAGCTAAAGAGATAACTTAACAATTCGAGAAATCTGCATAAAAACTATTAGACTATTTGTTGACCAGAATGCGAAAGCATCATAACCGCAATAGCTTGGTAGAATGAGAAAAATAGCTATTATATGTTGGAAATGGAGATGCAGAGCGTTTTAAACGTACGGACCCTCCATTTCGTCTATGTTACCGACACAATCTTACATATATTTCAGAGGTTAGAATGAGTAATATGGTAGCACTTCAGGCTGCTTAATGAATACGTGAGCAGCTGTATGGCGTAGGTACAAGGAGTTTATTGGAGGGCTTCAATGCCTAGATGGCGCCACAATCGTTCATGCTGTGACTTAGGCGCTGCATCGCCTACACTTGTACTTATAGTGCACAACTCCCTCACATTTAGCAGTAATCCGAAAGTTCCACATCTTTAGTCAACTTCTTCATTCGTTCCATCAACAATGCTGTGCACTAGATCGACAAATGCCGGGGAGAGATATAGAGAAAAGTCCAGAATAGCTTCTTCTAAGCAATGATAAACAATACGCAAGACATCAAAATGATGATGCAGAGAAAAAGAGGCGGAAGGAGCAAAATTTTGGATTCATGATGAGAAGGTGGTTATTTCACCAAGATTACACTACAGTGTAATTGGGTTCTTTCAAAGATTTAGGAAATCCAAAGATATTAGACAGACTTGGAGGTCTTCAACCAAGGAGTTGCCACATGTGTAAAAATATAGATGAGGTTTCTAAGCGTCGCAATACGCCTTTTGGGCGCAAAATTGGGTCAAACGAATTTATTCATAAACAACATGTCAGGAGTTAACACACTGTTATCGACGAGGTGACAATATCTGTCTTGTCATTGTCACACAAGTACTCCAACTCAAGCCTACCACATACAATCTCGCCTCAACAATGGTCCAAGAAGCAGCTTCAATAGCAGATGGGAGCTTGTCTCGTCAATCACCGGCTTTCTCCAACTATCAAGGTACGATGCTTCATGTACCCGCAAGAACGAAACTAAGTCATAATGTATAGAGCTTTGTTCTGAGGTCATGGGGGACCGATGCTCTAATGAGGCTATATAATCTGAGGAAGGATAGGCAGCTTGGACATGGAACAAGTGAGAGACCAGGTCATTGATGATAATACTGTGACTGGCGGTTTTCGGAGTGTCTTCGACTTTGAAATGTTTGTCAGTACCAAGACCAAGATTTGGGATAGTGCTACGGACAGTTTAAATACAGGACGCGCCGTATCTACTTTAGTGGATGGAAGTGTGAGAAATTGACCAAGGTCAATACGACAACTGTTGGCACAAGCCAAGGAGCTGTCGTAGAAATTAATATGAAAGGGTAGATATGGTAAGAATAATGTACTACTAGTAAATTCCTGAAGCTTAATTTTTTGGCATGCTTATAATACTGACTACTAAGTTCTACATTTACGATATATTCTATAAACCCTAGTTGAGACCAGCTTAAAAATCACGTCACATGTCTTCTAAGGCTCGGTGATTGATACTTCAACAATTTATCTCTTTGTACGAAGATACCCACCATGGTAGGCACCCCGTGAGGAAAAGCTAATCGAAATTGGGGCAGTAGGTAGACTCTCGGGAACAAATTCCTTCAAACAGTGGCGGGCTACTTGACCCATTCTAGACTTATTCGTATTTTCAGATGGAGCTCTCATAGTAGACCGAGCAGGCGCGGGTCACGTCATCTATCGAGGTCTTACGCAGGAGATTGGGCGAGGATCACTCCCTCTAGGAAACTCGGCAGAGGTCTATGATGCTGAAATGGCCGGGGCCACGGAAGACCTTACTGCAGCACTCCTTAACCCACTAGCTTTCTATGCCTCTAACGTCACAGTTTGCCTTTACAACCAGGAGGCCGTCCTCCGTCTTCTCTCTGATGTTCCCACAGCGTCTAGCTCAGCGAAAATCTTTCTCTTTTGCAAGCTTGCAGCAAACTGGAAAATAAGGTCACGTGGTCAAACACAACGCCTGGGGAAGTGGCCGCTGATGGTGCCCGGGCCACGCAGGTATTCTGGGAAACGAAGTAGCCGACGCGCTTGCCAAGGCCGCTTGTGCGGCTCCAGCTCTACACTCGGTATTCTCTATTGCGAGGGTAAGAAGGAAATTCAAAGCCCAATATGAGGCTTCTATTGCATTTAGTTGGGCGGAAAATTCTCTATCTAGATATATAGAATTAGGAATTGGTCCTAATACTAAGATTACTGCCGAGCTCGCCTGTCTTGGGCGACGCACACTAGGATATCTATTAGCTGCACGGTCTGGACATGGCGATTTCGTAGACTACCACCGACGCTCTCAGCTCGAAAACGCCATTCTAACCTGCTCATGCGGAGAAGAATAGTCCCCCAACCACTCTTTCTACTGCCACCTCGGGCAGTACCAGGTACAGCTCTACAGGGCTCAGATCTTCAATCCTACCAAATCTTGGGCACTTGCTTCGGCGGAGGGAGTTAATGCATTTAATAGCTGGTCATGTGAGCTAGGAGGTAGAATACCCGAAAGAATAGTCAAACCTCTTCGAAGATCTCAAAGAAATTGTCTCAAACTAGTAACTGGGGCATATAAATCGACCAGCACCAGGGTACTGGAACATGAAACTGCTTCTGTTCCGATAGAAATCTACTTGAAGCAACAAAGGGCTCAGTATGTAGACCGCTCAAATTCTCTACCAGTTCAATAGACTATCCAATCAGCATGTACTAAAATAAAAGTTCCCAGAAGAGGAAGAGAATATATTAGAGTACACAATAGAAGAGCAGACCTTGCATACTGGAAGGAGATTTGCGGAGAAGAGAAATCCAAGGACTTACAAAAAGAAGCGGCAAGAGTTGTAGCGTACCTAGAATGGGCGAAATCTTGGTCTGCCACAAAGCGAACTCGACAGCCTAAAAGATTTGCTCCAGCAGATCCTAAAACTTGGGCAGCAGCAAAGCTCTACTAAGGCCGCTATTCTGGACCTACAAAAATAAGCTTCCGGGAATCACCATTTTCTCTCCATAAAAACCTGACGAGGGCCCAAAGTAGCTTAGCAATCCAAATTCGAAGCGAGCATATCGGGCTCAATTCTTATTTACACAGTAGAAAAATACCAGGAGTTAATCACCCAAATTGTCCGTGTGGCTACCAAACACAAAATCCCAAGCACATGATCATGTCCTGCCCTAAGTGGTAAATTGATAGAGGAGAAATCTGGAGATAAGCCCGAAATCGCTCCTTTGAAGCAATGACCAACAATCCTAGCGATTTGAAAAGAATCACAGGATGAATTCTTAATCATGGTTGGATAGAACAATTCCGCATGACAAATGCAGTCGAAATGCTGCTCAGGGAACGAGACGGAACATGTAGAAGGCTGGGGTCGATAGAAGGGACGTGATTGATACACATTGACAGCGTTACAGTGTAACTGCACTTCCTGAAGAATAAATTGCAAACTATAAGAATTAAATGAGAAAGCTTGTATGACAGAAACCGAGTTGGTTGTGAATAAATCTATTTATTAAACTATATGAGGAGAAAAGAGAACACTAGCCACAACCAACAGGTATTTATAAGAATTGGTCCCCTTCGTCAATCTCAAGACTGATGACTTATCCCTAGGCACAATACTTGCTACCCAGCCACGCATTGCCAGGTGTTACTTAGTTGTTGTAACGCTTCGACCTCCTGACTAGTAGTGCCGCCTTGTTCAGCCTCATCTATCCCCCCCCCCATGCAGCCTTGTTGTAAATATTCTCAACAATCCACTTAGCTATTCACCTAAGCTCAAACAACGGTCAAACCGTAACAGCTTGGGGGGTTTTCACCGAGAGGTTTCCTCCTATATAAATATATAGATAGGTTTATAGCCACCTGCATGGGCCCATAGGGCGCCAAATCAGGATAATGAACACAAATCAAGCTGGTCATGTAATAAAAGCTAGAGATCTTTAAAGTAATGTAACCAGCTTCCCTCTTTACCAATTTTATTTCTCTACTTTGTATTCTCCATTTAATAACATCTGCAAATCATGAGAGACAACTGGAGGCCGATATTCATGTAGTTTCAAATTTCGAGCGCAGGATAATAAGATCCTGGTTTTTATTTGCTGTGTTGGGTCTATGTAGGTGCCAACACGTCGGGTACTTTTATATAGACTGGGCGAACCAGCACGTGGGGATCTCACGTGCTGTGTGCAGGCACAACGTTAAATATTATAAATAAATTTTAAATAAATTAGGTAGACTTACGATGAACTATAGAGAGTCTCCTATCCAAATCCACCAAATCCTTAGCAGGGCCCAGAGCAGCATTGCTACAAAAGTAAGAAGCGAGCACATTGGGCTCAATGCTTACTTACACAGAGTGAATGTGCCAGGAGTAGGAAAACCATGCTGCTGATGTGGATATCGGTCCCAAAATATAAAACACATAGTGATGTCTTGTCCAAGATGGGCAAAGGGAAGAGGTGAGTTGCTACGAAAATCGACAACCCGATATTTCGAAGCTATGGTAAATAATGTCAAAGATATGACTAGAATTGCACAGTGGATTCAAAAGGAAGAATGGCTAGAGCAGTTTCGGATGACCGGAGAAATTGAGGCGTTAATCAGGCGAAGAGAGGAAAACGGAAACACAGGACAAGGACGGAATGCACACTGGCAACAACGGTATGAGTGCACTTCCTAGAGGTAAGACTATAATGGCGTAGAGTCCAATCAGACAGCCAAGGGGGTTTTTACCAGGAGGGTTCCTCCTATGTAAATATTAAAGTTCGTAGACACCTGTATGGGCCCATAGGGCTAAATAAATTCAAATTCAAAAAAATCAAATTATAAATAAATAATCTCTTTGTAGATAACGTCAGGGTATTCAGGCAAGGCGCGGAGCCTTCGATCTGGAAATTGAGGTTTTCATGTTTTTTTCCAATTTCGGGTTGAAGTTTTCATCTTGATAATGTCAAGCCTTTCGGGATCAACTATCCGTGTCATCTCAAATTGGATAGAGGGCTTGTCCCTGAAAAATTAAAGTGACAATAACTCAAACTCTCTCTCTCCTGAAAATTTCCATTTGATAGAAATAAAATTTTAACAGATTCTAATGAGAGGAAGTAGATAGCATAGTATTTATAATAAATCACCAAGAGGTTACAGCGCTAAAATCAGATCTCAACTTAAATTATACGCTGCCTCTTAAAAGTTAAATAATAGGCTATTACTGACCAGAATGAGTATTTATACATAATTTACCCGAGAATTAGGGCGTATTTTTTATCTCGTCCCACCGTTTCCGACATGTAGAATTGCCAAAATGGTAGGAGCCACCATTATCTAGAATATAACTGGCCACTTTCTTCCATGGTATCTTACCAGAACTTTTTTTCGGACCTAATTTATCGACTGCTTGCTTTAGGAGATGAACCTGCTGCATGATTAGTCTAGCTATCACCTATGTGCGCCCAAAGACTTATAAATCTTACATCATTATCCGACCACTCTGGTTTCCTCACTCGCGCAGACTTGGCTTTTGTCAATGTGCGAAAACGCCCACGTAACGTAGACTCGGGCTCTATAAACCCTCCCTCTCGCTTAATCTCCCTGTAGGACATTCCTGCCTTTTTTTTTTGTATGAGAAATTCGTCTCTAGCAGTTCGTCGTACCAATGGAGTCGATGTATTCTTGTTGTTGCCCGTTTTACCCTGAAAATGGCATATAGCCGGCGGAGATGGATAGGTTAGGGCTCCTCTTTTACACAGTGGCTGTTTGACAGTGGCTATTTTTTCAAGAATTTCATCCTTGCTGTAACTATTACATTCGGAACTTAAGTCGGTATAATAGTCCTGGCCAGAGTCAAAATTTTCTACGAGCCTTAGATCATCATGAATAGATGGTAGCGGAAGAGTCGATGGCGAAACTTGTGGATTGTGAGTTTCCTGTTGTTCTTTCACACTTATAAAAGTCTTAAACTTTTCCCGAATTGGAAATGTATTACTAGAATCTATGGATAAAAGTGGTGATATTTTGTTGGAAGCAATTTCTTTTGGAGAGGTAGTTGTCGATGAGGAATTTGAGCTTAGCCATTCATCTCTTGTTTGTGAACTGCGGTCTTGACCACTTTCTAAATTTGAGTAATCGACAAGCGAGGAATTGCTATAGCATATAGGCTTGTAACTTTCTAACGACGGGTCGAAAAAATTAGTTAAATGGCCATGCCAACAATTTGTTTGAGATGGAAGTTCCGGGGTGCTACAGATACTCGGACTTTGTGAACCGTTTTGTGGCTGTTCTAAGATGGGTGTCGAGATGCCATCAGTTGAGTTTGTAATAATACCCGGTGTATTAAAAGCCTGATTAATTTGCCATTCCTTATTTGGATAAACTGTCTGAAGGTGTCTTTCTAGTAAATTTGAGTGCATACTTTGATCTGTGATAGGGCATGTCGAGTATTGCAAATTAGTTTGGCCACTAGCACCCTCCTCATTCATTGTCTGTGGACAGCCTTGAAAAAATTGAGAAACGATTGGTCTCGAGTTTGCGTCATAGCCAAGATCATGTCGAATTGGAAAGTTATCATGAAGCCCTGGCTCGACATTAAAATTTATCCCAAATTGAACAAAACATTCCATCCCACATGACTGATTTTGGAAATTTTGATATTGAATATTGATATTTAAGTCTGTTTGATCATGGCTAACTCCAACTGGAACAGTGGAACATTTAGATAGTTCTCCCTCATACAACCGTACAGACTCATTCTCTCTCATTAGCAATTCAAATGTTAACATTCAGATTTCACCTACTTTCATAAGCTCAGAGCTTCTGTCGAGATTTCCTTGGAGGATACCGTTGTTTATCGATATATTTGTAGAATTGGACGAGTTCCGGACCTTGAAGCAATTCATAGGCATATCCCTAAATCCATTGGACAAGAAAGACGTGTCAAATCCTTCCTCTACAGATAAAGAGGTCGATAGAATGGGCCTTGATATTTCTGGAGTATCTTTTGACATGCGTTTAAGAATCGTCATTATATAGCTACACTCCAATACCGGGTTTCTAGATTTATGATGCACTAGAAGTAGTTTTATTGTTGTACTCTACTTTAAACCACAGATATTGAGATTAACCTTTGAGTAACTTGACATAGAAAGTTAGTCTTTGTTAAAGCCTTTTTGAGATTTTCCTTAAGATAGTGCACTAATGATAATATGTATACAATAATCTCTAACCAAAGCTTAATCTTGCGAGCGAATTTTGTGATATATCGACGAAGAAATGAGTTCCCTTAGTATTTAAGACTATTGTTATTTTTCTGATTAACCTTGATTTTTCGCTCACTCAAGGCTACAAACTAATCATCTTCGATGTTTGCTGGAAATTTCTGTAAAGTTATAGGCTTACCTTTACGCTAATGTCGATTTATCTGACTCAAGAAGTCAATTTTATGCCATAAGATACCTCACATTTACTTAGATATTTGCTCTGTTCAATCTTAATTTGGGATCGAGCAAAGATGTTGTATAATTTTGATGCTTAAAAGTTGAGCTGTGCTTCTAGAATTTGGCGGTGGCATCTACCATACCCTACAGTATCTCTAAAATTCTAGAGCTAGGTGACACATGTCTTCCGATTTCTGTTTGATATTGCCCGTGGTTCTTAGAATAATCTCTTCCCCGTAATAAAATCTTATCAAAGTTATATCATGTTTTGGATTTTTTTCTTGGACCACTTGCAGGTCAGTGCGATTATTAACAGTGTAAAGATGGAAGGATAATTATGATAAAATAGGAGACCTGTCATTTGTCGGCTATACTGATTTGTTGAAGAATAAGATTCCGCGGCATCAAAGCCAGCATCCTGGATTTAGTTGTAGAAGTTTATTTATGTCTTTACGAATTATATCGATGCACTAGACATGGTCAAACTTGTCCATGGTACCACAAAATACTTCTAGAACGGTATTTGATGCTGCAGAGAGATCTGGTTTGCATGGATGCATGATCAGACCGTAGTAAATTGAAGGATTTCATAGCGGTATGCGGCTATCCTTCATGAATTGCGGGTACTCTTTCGCCAATAATGCCAGACAAACGGCGGTTAACCACAGATCTTTCTTATGCTTCGAGCCTATGCAGACCCCTTACCACAAACAAAATTCCCGGGTTCTGCATCTTTTACTGGCACGCGGTCGGGAAATTTTGTTTCACGAGTGACAGTTGGAAAGCTGATCGAAAGAATTTCTATAAGGGTGGTTTTTGATTCCATATTTTGGTTGATTGGCTGGAGGGTGACAAGTAGGCACAAGAACCAGATTGATGACGAATGGTAGGACAGAGGTTTTTACAAAATTTAAGTTTCATCCTACTAAAACCTCTCTTGGTAGGTTCTTTAAGGTTTATGACGATTGAAGAAATTTGTTACTAAAAATGATCCTGCCACGCTATTCTTATTGCAGTAGGTCACTAATCTCATCCAATTCAAAGGTTTATAGCATTTTAAAATCAAATGATTGGTTTACCTTACCTAATTTTCAAGTGCTTATTTCCAAATTATTATTGACTTTTTTTGTTTGCTTTTCCCCGGTAACACATGGAAATTTTTACTAAACAATCGTTTCATAGTGCTGCCGAGTAACTTGATATAAATACGTCATTGGCGTCGAAGGTTTGCGTATTTCAATTTTGTCGGAGAGTCTTGTAATGATGTACTTAATGTACAGCATTAAAGTAATAGAGGCTACCCTTCACATAATGTCGTAATTATTTTTTCTATCAGGCCTTAGATGGCAAAACCTCGCTGCTGCCAGATTAAATTATTCTCCTTGATTTTACTTATTTTAAACATGTAGCAGGTGCCAAAGAAAGTTGTCAATGCTCATCAGATTACCGAACTGTGGGCTCACATGTTTATTGACTCCTCCGAGGCAAGAAGTTAGGAAATTGCATGCGGACGTCGATGTTTTGAACCAGATAAGGTTTAATGGATAAGGTACTGTGCAGCCGATGTGACCAACATTAAGCTTTGTAGAAGGATATTTTAGCCTGAATGTGCTGACGGTTCCACAAGATTTTGAGATCTGCCTTGAGCAGAAAAAGATTTTGGATTGGGTAGCCGTTAGGCCCATAGGAATATAATAACACTTAAAATAGATTGACTTGTTCTGCTATCTTAAGGCGAGAAAAAGATGAAGCAGTCAGACAAATCGAACCTCTAAACTTTGAAAGTTTCCAGGCAGCAGCCTCATGGATACATAATACTGAGGGTTCTTTTTTAGTACTTTGTCTAGTTTGCATGTATTTATTTCACTAAATCAAGATGTTTGTCTCCTATGTAACGAGTCTGGAAGTAATGATCATCATCATCACGCTTCGGCTGGTCCTTGCAACACATGTCATCGCTAGGCGCTTATCGCTTCCATAGCACTGTGGATACAAAATAGGCCGGTCGGTTAGGTGGCCAACAAGGAAGGCCACTAGTTGCTTGCCGAGTTACTTCATACATGGTTAGATGCAGGGAATGGAAGCGGGTTTTCATGATGCACGGAAGAAATAAACAGGATTCAGGGTTAAGGCGCAGGGTTTTCTGTTCTGTTTTTTTACGTTCTATGTACATGTCACCTCTCGCACTCTTACTGGAGCTTAAGCACGAGTGGGGCCGGGCCGGACCAGGTTCACAAACGTGAAGTACAGATAAAGCTCGTCCTACCTAAACGACCGGATCACCTTAGATTTCACCTATGTGTTGAATCGTACCAAGCCTGACCGTCCAGAAACCCGTTGTATACATGCCGTAGCGCAAATTCCTCCTCAGCTTCGGCCACCACGCGCCCGAGCCCTTGACATCCTCATTGACTCCGAAATATAAATGCCGTCCCAGATCTCATCGTTGCTATAGCCTTGCACCTTCATATTGTAATGTTAGGTTGTTTTCGTCATTGGGCATCTATGTAATCCCCTCAGTGTTTATTCCCATTTCTTCCTCATTTGTACACGTCCCGTTTCCATCATGACTTTCCTCATTAGGGCGTGTGTAGGTAGGTGATCGCACGGGTATGGAGGTAGGTCGCAGGTGTAGGATCGATTGAGAAATGCTTCGTCACAAATATGTAAGGAGTTTGCGAGATGTTGGATGTTTGAATACGACCCCCAGACAGACCTATGCCCGTTCGTGAATCATATGTTGGTGGTGATGAGTTTTTGCTCGACTTGCGGTTGTGAAATCTCTGCCGACTGATTTTTCTGCCAAGAATACCGAATGTGACTTATCCGAGCCGAAAATTCATCAAAAAATTGTATCCAATCCCTTTTCGTGAGTGCATCTCGGCTCTGTTAGAATTTCTTACCCCCAAATTCGTAGAGGACATCACTGACAGGTTTTAAGCCTTCATCCTCCATGGCACAGGGTGTGTGAAGATAGATGAGAATTTGGGGATATTTTATAGAATAAATTTCTATCAGTAGGACATGTTACAGAATTATCCTCAGGATCTACTACCCCCAAATTATTATCACAAGCCTTGGCACCCCACGTTAACACCGCACTACTAGACAACCCTACTTGGAGGGCAAGATTGAAAACCTGTACGCGGTGCCTTCTACGAACCGAGGAGTGAAATATTCTCCCAGAGCCAGGTTCAGTCTAATTTCGCAATATCAAAGAAGTTGGCCCACGAGGCAATGATTCAAATTACTCCTCCACGTCGTTTTTTCACTCCCAACTAAGCCTCATCAAGTCTACAAGTACGACCTAGTACATCCTTATTCCAATGACCACACCGCCCTTCGATCATTTCTGGCCTCAGTTGACCACCAAATAAACGCCCACGCCGATATTTACACCCGACGGAGGAAGTAAAGCGTGGCGCACAAATCTAGAAGACTGTTTCTTGGGGTGGACGTGAGAGGAATCAGGACAAGTTTACAAGATGATGCAAAGGAAGAATATAACATCGAAGGGCATGGAGTTTTACGAATCGAGCTTTGTATGCGCCAAGGCTTCGGCTGCGAGAGTACAGCTAACATTATAAATACAAGCCAACGATGGAAGGTGCCGTGGTCCGCCTCTTGGTGGTGTTCTCTGGTATGGTTTGAGTAGCCTGGGCACCTAATCCACTTGGGAAGGAGACACTTAAGACCATATTTCGCGCGGAGAATAGTCCACGGATGACGGAGGCATGTCTGGATAACTCCGGGCTTTTGAGACGTTCCCCTGGGTGGGTATTCACGGATGAGGGTTGACTTGTGGTGAAGAAAAAGCCACGATAACTTCGCAGTGGTATTTGCAAATGAAATCTGAGGCATGAGTACTCATTTTGTAAATTGAGTCATCATTTCTGTACTTTTCTTTGATAATGTGTCATAGCTAGATAGCTGCATACGCAATTAAAATCTGATGCAAAAAAAAAATAGACAACCCTACTTAATAAAACGTCACAGTTATACTCACCTTATGCATAAATGAACTCTATTAGTTGCTCATTTGTAGCAATTCAAGCTGTAGTGTCAATTTTAATAATAAAAAGAAGACGAAAACTCAACACCAGCAGCACTGTTCTCTAAGAGTCTCCTACCCTCACTGTAGAGTCCGACGGGTTGAGATTGAGTGAACCCATTTCAACTTTGGGCTGATTTATCTCCCACTCTCTTATAGATAAACTTCTGTTAACACATACGCCTATAAAGACGATGATAATCTAGCAAAGATGAATTATTGACATTCCCGTGATGCCGATGTGGATACTCAGTATGTTCGGTAAATCTGAGAAAGCCAATCGATATAGTATTCCAATAGAAGTGTAAAGCAAACATAAGCATATCTAAAATTGATGACTTTTAATTAATTTCTGTTACAATTTTCTCATGCAAGTCCTCCAACTCAAGCCTACTACAGGGGGACTCTTCTCAACACCTGTCAGTGAAGTCCCCTATGAACCTCCAGCTCTCACTGTAGAGTCTGCAGAGCCGAGATTGAGTGACAGAGTCCTCACTTTCACGAGGATTCCCAGTCGCTT